TAATATAAATTTTATTCTCTAATAAAAATTAGCATTTAATACTAAATATTAGCATTTTTTTTATATTACAATTTATCATACTTCATATAAAAAAATACTTCCAATTAAAGTACTAAATAAACACACCCACAACTTTTTATACCAAATATTAACCGTGCATCATTTCTCTCTCTCTCTCTTTTTTCTCGGTTCTTTTTCTTATCACCCCACTATATTATCAAAAGGTATCAAAGATGTCCCAAAAAGGGATTGTCTGGTGGTGTGGAGAGTGAACTTGTGACCGTGAGGTCATGGATTCAAACCCCGACGCCTCCAGGTCCATCTGCCACATATTGTACGCAGTGTAACTTGCAAAGCTGAGAATGTCGGTAGACTGGCCCCTACTATATTGACGACAAATATGTCGCAAATCACATATTTTCTTTGTAGATTTTCATGACACAACACCTCATCCAATCTTGAACATGTATCCATTTGTGGATGATTCACTATAATCCAATATTATAATCCAATGATCTTTACTTGGATAGCAATTGTTTCGCCTTAGTTTTCTTGTTGAGTACGTAAGACCAGGATAAGTACAATTCATTCATAGCATATAACTCTTGTGACTCTTCCGTATTTCTCTTGAGCCACAAATTTACCCTAAGTTTTGCTCAATTTGATGCTCGGATCATTTGGGGTTTTCACTAGAGCGCGATGATAAGCACTAAATTATTTCAAAACTTCTTACATATAATGAGATTGTGTTAAGAAAATTTCTTTAGGTACCTAATTATTTTGATCCCAAGGATCGTATCAGCCAGCCCCAAATATTTCATATCAAAATTTATCTTCAACATTTGTTTCATTCATATAATAAGCCATTGATCACTATCCATGATCAATATATTACTATGTAGAGGCATACTAGCACAAAACTTCTAACGGGTATCACCATGCAGCTTAATCCCGATAATTCTTTAAGAATATGAGGTAATAATAGAACACTCATCAGATTATACTCCTTATTATCGTCTAATAAGGCAAGTTTCCAAAGCCCCTTTCTTAAGAAATAGATCACTCCTTACTTGACAGTTCAAAGTGGACTAATACAAAAAACATGTGATTTGTCCAAAAGCTTCACTTGAATCTTCTTTGTAGTGAATATATTTATCGCACTTATTGTATTTGAAAATATCATTTTTTTTTAAAAAAAAATCAAATGTCATGATTTTTTGTGCTTGTTTAAGACCGTACAAAAACTTAATGGGTTTGAAAGCCTTTCTAGATACTACAAACTTTGAAGTTGTTTCATGTATATTTATTCTCTAGGTAGTGATTCATGAACACTGTCTTGATATCTATTTGGTGAATCTCTGCAAAACAATAATCAAGAGAAGCATCTTAATTAAGGTGGTCCTAGATACAAGATAATTTCTCTTAAATATGTTCTATTTCATTTTGATTAAAGACCTTGACAACCGATCCATACTTAAATTTGTCAACCAAGCCATCGATCTTGTATTTTGTTTTAGGACCCACTTACGTCTTAGCAGTTTACAATCCTTTACTTTTAAATATTTTGACCATTTCACTACGTCTTAGCCCTTTTTTTAAAGGATCATAATTGTTAGTCATTTCTTAATTTCTCTTTTGAGAATATTAAGGAATGTCATCCTTACGATTATAAAGAAATATATATATTTAAAAAAAAATAAAATTTCTTGAATATCATTATCCATTCACTTATGTCAAGTGATTTACAATTTTTGAACAAGAAGACCATAAGTACTATATCGAGTATGTAGCTACTAATTATGCATTCAATGTTTTTCGGGTCAATAGCGAGACATCTCCATCTTAGCCAAACACCCTCAAATATTAAGGTATTTTCAGAAAAGATTATGACCTTTCCAAAACTCGAAACAATCCACAGCCTTACTTTTTAAGAAAATTTCATTCATAATTTCATACTCTGTCGGTACGGCTTGCCTCAGATGCTTTGAGGCATTTGTTGAAAGACTTATGGCCTTTCAACCACTTGTAAAGAATTATTTCTTTACTTTTTAGAATTTTATATAAAATATAATTTACCATCAACAAGGATTCTCCCTCATTCATATATTATTAGATAATTTAAAATTTTTTAACATGATATTTATTATATCATTCACTGTTCGATTTCTGTGTTTCACAACATCGTTCAGCTGTAGTGGAGCTCACGTTTGAAAATTAATATTAATAGAGGCACAAAAATTTTGCAAATAGAACCACACATTATCCACCGCAATCGCTTCAAATCACTTTGATTGGAATGTCGAGTTAATTCTCAAGTTCATTCATAAAGTTCTTTACAATTTCAAGAGCCTCGTCTTTGTTTCTCAATATATATAAAGACAATAATATCGGGTACAATCATCTACAAAAGCGATGAATTACTTTTTTTTTTTTTTCTAGTTCGAATAAACTCAAAATCACACACGTCGATATAAATTAACTCTAGAGGTGAAATGATTCTTTCAACACTTGAAAATAATTATTTTGTTGATTTACCTTCAATGCAAACCTCGTAATATTGTTGGTAATTGAACTCAATTTTTTTTTAAATAAAATTAAATTTATTAATTTATTTATGGCATCTTATTCATATTTAATATCATGTATCATAAAATCAAACGACTTAAGCAATCTAAAATAAGAATATTCTTCTATTTTTATTGATATTTTGACACTCAACCAATATATCTTATTTGGAAAAACTTTGGATAGATAACTTTTAGTTAGAAAATTTTCTCCGCGGTGGCAGCAAAGAGAAGAAAAGATGAGAGTGAGAGTGAGTAAAACAAACAACAACGATAAGAAGTAAAAGTTCAAGTCTAGTTGAATATTTTTGATAATTTTAGGAATTCTGAAGGATAAAATTGATATTTAATAATAAGAGTAATAATAATAAATAAATAAATTAAAAACTAAAAAAAAAAAAGGGGAAACTTTTGTTAATGTTTAAAATAAATTTATCTTCAATTTATGAAAAATAAAAATATACTTTTTCCACAATCGAAAGGAAGTTTTTGAAATTTTATAATAAATTAAAAAATAATAATTTTTTATTAATTAATATAAATATAAAATAATCTAGATATTTTACAGTTTGTATAATTTAATTGTATATATAATAATATATTTGTATTTATAAATAATTAAATAATATTTTAAAATTACCGTGTGTTAATTTTAAAGAAATACTATTTTGAATACTTTTGATTGACATAGTATAACTTTATTTATCTAAATAATATTTGTATTGACACGATTTCAGCATAAATATTATATATTTTATTTTTTATAGAAAATATTTTCTTTTATATTGCCAAGATTTTTTAATATTCACATTAAAGAATATTATATTAAAATACTAAATAAATATATATATTTTTTTAAAAAAGTAAATATTCCCAAATAATATATCTATGTGCAACTGGAACGCACCCCAAATATGGAGTTTGGTTGAGAGAATTTGCTTCAATCATCTCTATATTTCGGGGCGTTGTACAACACAAAATCAACGCCATTTTCGGCGTCATGTATTTTTAATTTTTTTTTTGTATATTAATTCTTTTGTTTATTTATTTATTTTTTTAAAAAATACTCCCTCTGTCTCGGCTTGCATGTCCACTTTATTGTAGATATAAAAATTTAAGAAGGGTACAATTAGTAAATAATTAAGAATGTATTAGTGAAAATAATTATCGTATAATAAATTTAAGGGTAAATTATATAACATTTCCATGTGTTTTAGTAAAAATGTATAAAATATCATGTGTTTTATTTATTGTGTGAAATCCCCTTGTTAATGTAAAGTTTGCACGAAACACTCTCTAGTCCAAAACTGATATTTGATTCTAAATAAAAACTTAAATTATGCAAGATTTATACAAATAAAAAATATCAAAATATCTTAAATTATTTTTTTAATAAAATAAACTGATATTTTACGTTTTTTATTTGTATAAAACTTGTATAATTTATTTATTTAGAACCAAATATCAATTTTGGAGTGTTTAATGCAAATTTTACATTATGACGGACAAAAATTGACTCGACCTGAACCTGACCCGAAATAATTGAGTTTGGGTTGAGATTTTTTATCCCATTAATAATTGAGTCAAACCTGTTTAACATATTTAATTAAATAGGTCAGATTTCGATCCAAATTTTCAACTTGAAAATAATTCGTCTACCTGTTTAATTAATATTATTTTAAATTTAAATATATTTTTAAAATTTTATCAATTCAATTTAAATATTCATGACCAATTTTATAAAAATAAAATAAAATAAAATATAATTTAAGCTAAAATTTTACAAAATTAGGATTAAAGAAAGGATTGTGTTGTGTAAGTGTTTGTTAATTCGACTCTTATGATATAAATAAATAGTTTTTGGTTTAATATGTATATATATGATGCATTTGAAAATTTTTTTAGTATAAATTATAATATTAAATTAAAATTTAAAATTTTAGACTTAAACAATTATACATGTCAGGTTGACTAAATTAATAAAATGTCATGTTAAGGTTGCAAATATCAACCCGTTTAATTAAACGAGTCAGATTAGGTCAAAAATTTTCTAAAGGTTTATAGCTGACCCGAATCTAAATCCGACCTCACCCGTTTGTCAGCCTTACTTTACATTAAAACATAGTGTATTTTGTATATTTTTATTAAAACACGATGTTATATAATTTAGTCTAAAAATAATTATAAATTAAGATTAAAATGATTAAATTATTTAATTAAAATTTTAAAAAATATAAATTATAAATTATAAATTTTAAAATATAATTAAAATATATAATTATACGTGAAAAAAAAGATTACGAAATAAATGAAATAGATGAAGTATTAATTATTGATATAAAAAATAATTTAAAGTAATACTATATAAAATCGAATATTTGAAATATATATATATATATATTTAATTACTGTATTTTTAAAGTTACAAGAGTTCGTGGCGCATTTTTAAACCTCTTCAAAACAGAATCAAACGCAGCTATCTTTCTAAGGTTTCGGGATTCCGTTTCCGCCCTTCTCCGCCGTCTCCGCCGTCTCCGATTCTCCATAGCTCCTCCATTTCCATTTCCGCCCTGCTTGTGGAATCCCCTATTCCTTGCCCTTCTAGATATTACAGTAATTTTATTTTATTTATTGTTTTTCCTCCTCTCCGTTTTCAATCCTCGACGTCTTGTTGTACGTTAATTATCTTGTCCAACCGGAAGATTCCTCTAAAGGTTGTTGGAAACTAAGGTCAAACCAGCAGGCATCTTCCTCGGTGTAAAATTATTCTTTTTTTCTTGTGGTGATTATTTTTCTCTTTTAGAATTTTGAGCGTAAGTCGCGGATTTGGAGTCGCCGGCGGCTTACCTATGCTGGGTCGCTGTTTTTGCATCGAATGAGAAAAAAAAATAAAAAAATGAGCGGGTCCACCAGGGAAATCTGTAAGCCGGACACCAGGGGTAAAGCTAAAGGCCCTTCAGGCTGGATGGATTTCGACCTTAAGCAAAGGCGGAAAAAGCAAGGTCTGGAAGCTGAAAATGATTCTGATGCTTACCCTGTGCTATCAGGTACTATTGCCCCCAATAGTTTAATTAAAAAGAACGAAGTATTTGTGAAGAATACCATTTCATCCCCTATTGTTGGTCCCAATGATTTTCCTTCCTTGATGGATACGGAAAATATTGGGCCTAAGGTGTCAAGCAAGGCTGATTATCAGAAGCTTAATGAACTTTGCCATATTGTGGATGAAAGGTTGATCGAGGATATCTTGGCTGGTGTAAACTACAATTTTGATAAGGCTATATCTTTAGTTGAGGCAATGTTTAACTCTGAGATTAAAGATGTTGATATCAAGGAAGTCGAATCCAGTAGGGTTGATTTCCAATCCTTTGATGCACCTGAAAATCATTTAGTAGAAAATTTGGATATGGGCTGTATCACTCGTGTTCTTCCTGACTATGAGGCATCTTCAGCTCTAAATTTGGATTCCTCCAAGTCTTTACCCATTGAACCTGAGTGGGAAGAGGATGATATCTACCTGGCCTATAGGAAAGATGCTATTAAGTCGATAAGGTATTTTTGTTTCTTTCGTTTATTTTATTTTATTTATTTATTTATTATTAAGCGAATCGGAATTTGTTTGCTGCTTCTTTTTACTTACTTTTGCATCTTACTAATGAAAATACACTGAAAAATACCAAGAGGATAGAAGCCGTCAATTCTGACGCCCATAGATTATCTGTGATTATATTCTCACCGTAGAGTAAGTAATTCCATTGGTTAAGATGTACAAGTCATGCAAGGTGCTTCTAAGGTTCTTGATATCAGTTTTGGTGTCCATTTTCGGCATTTTTTATGGTTTATACAAAGATATTTGAGATTTTGATTTTGATATTAAAAAATTATGGACATTGATAGAAATAACTGGAAATTAACTTAAAATTTACTCATTTAGTTTTAAATTATGCACTCACACACACACACACACACACACACACACATATATAGACTAAAAACAGGCTACTTGTACTATTTGAAATTTTAGATTACATAAAAAATGGAAGCGAACCTGTTCGGTATGATTTATACTGAAATTTCTAAATAATTCCATCAAGTTTCAATATATAAAATGATACAATTACTGAATTACCAATAATACTATATTTAAAGCTTAGTAGTCAATGGCGGGAGATAGCATTTCCACCGAGCGAAGCGGCTATCTGCTGCCATCGCTGCTCCATTGGGCATTTATGCACACATGGCAATGGCTGCTTGTTGTGGTGGGGTGTTGTGGGTTGGAGTTGATATGTAACTATTGTTTATTATGGATTTAAATGCACCTGGAAATTTTAGAGATATTTCTCAAAATTTTATGATATGTAATTGTGTACTGAATTTCAATAAGTACCACTGAAACTGAGGTCATGTTTACTTGTGTTTTGGTTTTCTTATCGTATTTTGGGTTTTAATAATTTTGAGATGAAATAGGTGTTGGATTTGATGTTCAAACAAAAAATACTTGCGGTGCATTCTATTGCAATTTTGTTTTTGTTTTCCATTGTTTGTATTACTTTATATTTTTGGTTTTGATGTTTTTGATATAAAAATAGTTGTTTGATGTGATTTTTTTTATGGAAAATAATATATTGAATAGTAGAGAACACATCCAAGTATTGAATGTGATATTTTACAGAGGGAAAGTGGATATGCAAACTATATTGAATAGTGTAGAAATGAATACAAAAACACAACTCAACCTGAAATTTTGGTTGAAATTTAAAACAAATTGCATTCATCATTATAATTTATAAGTCTGTGTGTAAAAGAGAGAGAGCGAGTACCTCAAAAATTGTCCTTGTAATTTATATCTCCAAGTTCCCAAGGAATGTTCTAGAAAATGGTCTGCATGATTTCTGCTTTCTCAAACTTTTTATGCATGTACCAAATACATTATTTTGCATTGCTAGTGAGTTCAACTGGATTAAAAGCATGGATGTTTCTTGTTTGCATAGAATCTTTATCTAAGATTGCCACTGTAAATTTAGTTAAATTTTGTTATTTAGTCATTGCTGTGTTTAATGTTCTTAGTGTAAGGTGGGACTCATGGGTGAGATTTTCTACTTTATGATAACGTGAAATTATTCAGGGTGTGTTTGTTTTGTGAAAATGGTTTGAAGAGATTTTATTTATGTGAGGTATAAGGAATTACGTAAGGAATATAAAAATAATGAATGTGTAATATATTAATATTTTTGGGAAAATGTGTAGGAAGAAAAATAAAAAAGAACAAACCTCAGCTTTGTTAAATTTTCCTATGTTTCTAATTCACATATAACTTTGAATACTATCTTAAGAGAAAAAACCAATAATCACACAAATGCAAGAATAAGCTGGTCTAAAATATGATGTTAAATTGAGTCACAGGAATTCAATAATTGGAGAGGAATTTTATTGTCACCCCATGCCCTTATTAATGTCTGTATGATTTTCATGTGATTAGATCAGCATCTCGTCAATCTAAAGCTGCAAATGATGCATATATTAAGGGTGATCATATATCTGCACGTCATTATTCATGTATAGCTAAAGAACAATGGGTTATGGCTAAGAAGCTTAATGCCAAGGCAGCCAAGGAAATTTTTGCTGTAAGAAATTGTAAAAATGATCTTTGGACATTGGATTTGCATGGTTTGCATGCATTGGAAGCAGTTGAGGCTTTGCGTGATCGGTTGAGAAGTGTTGAATCCCTTGTATTATCCAGTAGCTTTGCGACATTGGGTGGAGCCCACAGCGGATCAAGCTTGTTTGGTGCATCTGTACCATCTGCCAATCATGTTAAGATGGGCACACCTGTGAGATATACCCCTTCAACCAGGCCGAGGCAATTACACTTGCAAGTGATAACAGGTATGGCACTTCTATATGACCAATAACATTTCATTTGAAGAGAAATTATATTTTAAGAGAAGTTATAGATGAAGCTGTTGCTACATGGTTTGCTAGAATCAAATGTTCTTGCAGCAGTCTGGATTGGACAAAACTCTACACAGAGTTGATGATTAGATAATATTTTTAGATTTGGATGAACACTCATTGTTTTGTTTTGCACTATGAGTTATGCTCATTTGAAGTTGCATGTGCCTTTGGAGTTGTAATGGTGGGTCTGGTTGGCTAGGTCAGCCTACCTCGTCCATGCCATAAATAATGAGAAACATTTAGTGTATGGTTGAGTAATTGTTTTAATTCCTTCCCTGCTTAATATCTTTCTCTCTCATTATATGTATAAGTTCGCTTAGGCATCCATGATTCTATTTATTGTGCTGTGATACAACACACATATATAAGTATGTATGGTCATTGAAAAGTCATTAGGAGTTTCCTAGTTAAATATCATGGTGTCCGTAGGAAATTAGAGTAGAGAAATAGAGGGAAAATATTATTTCATTCCATAAAGAAAGAGAAGGGAAGAATATATATATATATATATATATAGATAGAGGTATTTATAAATTATCCTAACAAACTAAATCATAGATATGATATGTATATTGATATGGATATAGATATGGATATGAATCTATCAAATCTAACACTCCCCTCAAGCTAGAGCGTACAAGTCAAACGATCCAAGCTTGTAGAAGATGGACTCGGATCCAGGACCTCTAAGAGCTTTTGTAAATATGTCTGCAAGTTAATCATTTGATGACACATATTTGATATCTATAGATTCGATAATACTTTCTCTCTGATGAAGTGACAATCTATTTCGATATGCTTTGTTCGTTCATGAAATACTGGATTTTGCTTGGTTATCACACCCTAACTTCATCTTCGTCACATCACAAAACTTGAGTTCACAAAGCAATTTTTTAATTCAGAGAAGCTCACATATAGCTAAAGCCATAGCACAATATTCAGCCTTAACACTAGAGCGCGCAACCACATCTTGTTTTTTACTTTTCCAAGATATCAAATTGCCTCAAATAAAAACGCAATAACCAGAGGTAGAATGCCTATCGATTGGAGATCCCGCCCAATCAACATCTGTATATCCAACGATTTCAGAATGGCCATGATTTGTATAATATAATCCTTTTCCGGGAGACCCTCTAATATACTGGAAAATACGCATAAGTGCCTTTCAATGAGAGTCACATGGAGACTGCATGAATTGGCTCACTACACTTACTGCAAATGATATATTTAGTCGGGTGATAGTGAGATAATTAAGCTTTCCAACCAGCCTTTTATATCGTCCAACATTAATATCAGTCAATGGCTCATCCTGTCTTAAAAGCAATTTTGTATTTGGATCTATAAGGGAATCCACAACCTTACATTCATTCATACGTGTTTCTTCCAACATATCAAGAATATAATTTCTCTGAGATAGGATAATACCATTTTTCGATTGAACAATCTCAATTCCTAAGAAGTACCGTAGTGGTCCCAACTCTTTGGTCAGGAAATGATTGTGTAAATGCTCCTTTAACTTTGTAATACTATCTATATCATCTCCAATGATGACAATATCATCAACATAGACAATTAAGTAAACGCATTGCCTTTCTAAATTGTGCTTGAAGAATACGGTATAATAAGACGAACATTCTGTCATACTAAATTCTTTAATAGCAACATTGAGACGTCCAAACTACGCCTGTGGAGACTGTTTCAAGCCATAGAGTGAACGACGAAGTCGACATACAAGACCAGACTCCCTCTAAGAGGTTGCTCCATGTATACCTCTTCTTGAAGCTCACCATGCAAAAAAGCATTTTTAATGTCAAGTTGATGAAGGAGCCAACCACGCATTGCTGCCATCGAAAGAAAAAGACAAACAGAAGACATTTTGGCAACGGGAGAGAAGGTTTTTGTATAAGCCTCTCCATACACTTAGTAAAGCCTTTTGCAACAAGTCGACCTTTAAGTCGATCAATGCGACCATCAGGTCCAACTTTGATTGCATAAAACCATCGGCAAGCTACGGGTGTCTTTCCCAACGGTAGCGGAACCAACTCCCAAGTATTGTTAGCATGCAAAACAAACATTTCCTCCATCATAACTTGACACCACCCTGAATGACCCAAAGCCTCACATCAAGAACGAGGAACACAATCACAACACTACGCATGGAAGGAGGTAAACGGTGATAATTAAGAAAATTATAAATAGAATTTGGATTACGAGTGGACCGAGTGCCTCGACGCGGGATGAAAGGTGACTGAGGAGTTGCAACCGGGGAATGCGATGGAATCGGAGATAAGTCATCAATAGGCACAGGTGATGGTGAAGTAGGTATGTTATGACGCTGCCATGTATGGCGATTATAGGCCTAAAGTGGAGGCTTGGGAATGGAGACAACTGGAAGAGAAGTTACAGGTATTGAGGATGGAGTATGGTGACGACTCAAAGAACGTGACATCTGCACTAAGGTAATATCGACGAGTAAGAGGAGAATAACATCTATATTATTTTTGAACTCAAGAGTACCCAAGGAAAACACATTTGATGGATCGAGGATGTAATTTGTCCAGACCAAGAGAATGGTCATGAACAAAGCACGTACAACCAAACACTCGGATAGGTAAAGGGTATAATGACACATTAGGTTGAAGATATGTGATAGCAATCTTATGACCTAGTGCAGTTGAAGGAAGACGATTAATAAGAAAGCATGTTGTAAGGATAGCATCAACCGAAAACTGAAACGGGACATTATAATGTAAAAGAAGGGTACGAGTTGTTTCTACTAAATGGCGATTCTTGCGCTCAGCCACCCTATTTTGTTATGGGGTGGAAGGACAAGAATACATGAATAATCCCCTAAGAAGACACAAATTCATTAAATGAGTGGGAAAAATATTCTCTACCATTATCACTTCTTAAGACCTTAATAGAGGTGTGGTATTGTGTACGAATTTCAGCACAATTTTTTTTGAATATAATAAGTAATTCAGACCTATTTTTCAATACATTAACCCAAGTACACAGATTAAAATCATCAATAGAAGTAACAAAATATTGAAAATCTAGGCTTGACTTAGAACGACAAGGACCCCAAATATCTTAGTGAACTAATGCAAAAGGTTCAGATGCTCTATTATTGACGCGCTTTGGAAAAGTAGTACGAGACTATTTCCAAGCTCGCATGACTCACGTGGTAACGAAGACAGTGATGAAAAATTAGGAAAAATACGTTTCAATCTTGATATATCGGGATGACCTAATCGTTGATGCAACAATTCAGGAGACTCAACACTAGCAGTTGCGAGAGTAGAAGATTGACAAAAGACTTATTTAGGTAATATAGCCCATGAGACTCACGTTGGTACCAATCGTCCGTCCCGTGCTGCAATCCTGAATAACAAAGGAACTACCGGTCAATAAAATAGAATAATATAAATCTTTAGTAAGTCGACTTACAGATATGAGGTTAAATGGACTTTGTGGTACATAAATGACAGACTCGAGATAAATTAGGTGATAGGCAAACTCTACCAATAGCTTGAGGATATGCTTTATCACCATCAGCTAGAGTGAAATGTGTTAGTGAGTTTGACGGATGAAAAGTAGAAAACAATTAGGGATTACCAAACATATGATCGGTTGCACCGGAGTCTAGTACCCATAAGCCTAGTGTAGATTGAGAAGTACTGACAAATGAAGCATGCGCATCATGAGAGGTGTCAGAACTAGTGAAGGATGACGGCTTAGATGCCTGAAACTAAAGGAATGCATCATAATCGGCACGACTTATAGTAATGGAGTTATGGGATGAACATGCGTTCAAATTAGCAACAACTTCATTTATCGTACGAGACGGGCGTCCATGAAGACTATAGCAGCATCCTTTAGTATGATCATTCTTAGTGACAATAGGTACACCTCAAGCACAGACGTATAGTACCAATTGACTTAAAAGAGTCGGCCATAAAAAGTAAAAGAGAGAAATAAGAGAGCTTAGCAGAAAATTTGGCGTTGGCAGCGGCGGCTGGAAAATATAGAGGCCTATCTAAACTCTAATTGGCTTTGATACTATGTAGGAAATTAGAGTAGAGAAATACAAGGAAAATATTATTTCATTCCATAAAAAAAAAGGAGGGAAGAATACATATATATTGAGGTATTTAGAAATTATCCTAACAAACTAAATCATAGATATAATATGATATGATATGATATGATGGATATGGATATGGATATGAATCTATCAAATCTAACAATGTCCAACTTCAACATCAAGCCCGATGCTTAATATTCTTGATTCAGGACTAAGATTTCTCAACATCATATATACATTTTTAGTTTGATTTGGTGTAAAATGAGGCTAATCATTGACTTGAATATGCATTAAGTAGTTGTTCTCTTGGACTATCAATCTTTAGTTTATGTGCAGAAGTTAATACTTGTGTTAGAAGGTTATTTATTTTTAAACGTGTGACTGATCCCATGGCAGCAGGGAAACATTGTTCCCAGATCCTCGGCCTGAGCTCCCATAATCTACACTCACAGGAGGAAGAAGTAGGTAGCTCACTTGGGCCTTGCAATGGCATTTGAGCTGATTGTTTATGCTACATTGTTGGAGAATTCTGTGTTATTTACTAATAAATAATCAATCATTACGTCTAAATAATATTAACAAAAATATTTATATAAACATCTCAACCTCAAGGTGGTGCAGTATAAGCTAACTTGATTTGGACAAAAGAAACCAGAGGCAACGAGTCTTAATCTGGACAAATTTTATAATTGTGCATAAATTTTAGATCATTCAAATCGATAATTTGTCGTGGCCGTGGCGGCAATCTTTTGTCACAATGCCAACTTGATGAACTTTTGTATAATAAAATGAGATTCAGTTAAAAAAATACTGGGGGGGGGGAACAATATGTACATTATTATGTATAGTTTTCTACGTTTTTTTTTAGTTACTCCCTTTCGTTGTATAGTTTCTAATATTTCTATTGACATCAATGCAGTAAAAAAATATCATTGATTACGATAAGTGAATCTGGTCTATATTGATTTTGGTCCCTAGCTTTATCAAAATTTCAAATTACGTGTTTTTTTTTTTTTTTTTTTTTTCCCTTTATGTGAGAATTGCTTGCATTTTCTTGTAATTCATTGAAAGTCCATTTTTCCTTTTCTTCTGTTATGAATTGTTGGCACCAGTCTTAGGTTATTTTTGTCGACACATTCATCTCAGGAGCTTCACTTAGGAAGTTCTTGATGGTATATATGGTTTATCTATTTGTTGAGCATACTTATTTCAAGCTCATGCAACAGGAAATGGCAATCATAGCAGGGGAGCAGCCACACTTCCATCAGCTGTCAAAAATTTCCTCAACGAGAATAGGTTAGCGAGTGGGGTGACTGATATTTGAACCTTTTCTTTGCTAAAAAAGAGAAATGTTATGTTTGGCTCCAACTCTATGTATGTGATAATTGTGGTGATTGGTTGTCCGCTACCTGCAGGTATCATTATGACGAGACTAGGGCTGGAGTGCTAATGGTTCATCCCAAGTTCCGAAAACAGTGAGCTGTCGTGCCACTACTCTTTGGCCGGGGTGGATGTTGTGCATTCATTGTATCTTGTTAGTATGATTGTGTATATCTTGAATTTCTGCCAACGAGTCTAATGTATTGGGGATGGTCACGCGTGGACTCTCCAATAGTATTTTTAATTATATGCTCGTGGAGGAGGAATGAAGCTAGATATCAACTTACCGGGTGTATTCAATTCAGATTTTATAGGATTTTTAAAATCTGAATGTATGTGTGGACTTTCCAATATTATTTTTAATTATATGCTCGTGGAGGAGGAAGGAAGCTTGATTTAACTTACCGGATGTATTCAATTCGGATTTTATAGGATTCTTAAAATCTGAATGTATGTGTGGACTCTCCAATAGTAGTTTTAATTATATGCTCATGGCGGAGGAATGAAGCTTGATATCAATTTGTCGGGTGCATTCAATTTGGATTTTATAGGATTCTTAAAATCTGAATGTATATTTGAGGGCATCAATCATATCCTTATTTATTTGTTGTACGCAGCAGCAGCAGCAGCAGGAGGCAACTCTATTCAACACTGCAGAGATGAGATGATGGAATATAAGAATCAGTTGGTTGATGGAAAAGATATAATATACACAACTGCTTTTGCAGATATGAGATTTAAGATAGCTGTCAGCGTTTGCCCTTACAAATAGGAAATTTGGCTAATTTGAAGTAAATGTTAAGGGGAAATTTGTCGCCCTTAAATTTAAATTCAGATTTGAGTCTGTTTGTTTTAATTGTTAATTATGTCAACAGACGAGAGGAATTAATTTGCAATTTTGTATAAAATAAAATACTAATAAAATAAAATATAAAATATTAAAAAAAAACAGGTGGCGCAACTTGATTGGGGGAGTCAGAGGGACATGAGGGTTTGGGGCGGAGAAATTTGGGCTCTGTTACCTCGGCGTCGGTTTTCCCAAACCGATTGTAAAAATACTATTTAAACACAATTAGGCCACCCGCAGTGCACTTGTCACATCAGTGACAAAAAGATAAAATTCCCAAATTGACTGTAAAAGCATTGTTTCTATACATTTAGGTCATTCGAAACGCGTGCTCTGCTGAGCACCCTTGGAGATGTGTCATTTTTGTCATGTGTCCTAATATCCGTGGGACACATGCATAGAAATATTATATATATATATATATGTTATTTTGTTATTTATTTTGTACATATTATTATATTTTAATTTTGTAATATTTTTATAATTTATAAAATTTTATATTTTACAAAATAATTTGAATATTATTTTAATTTTAAATATTTGTATTATATTGTAATAAATTAAATATTAACATAATAATACTCTACAAAATAATATGAAATATATTTTCATAATATAAATATTAACATAATAATACTCTACAAAATAATATGAAATATATTTTCATAAATTAAATATTAAAAAATAATATTAACTAATTATTTGATTAATTTTCAATTTATATATATATAAAAAATTGAATGAGTTTTTTCGTTGTGGATATAAAATAGAAGAAAACATTTCTGGCGATGCGACGATGATGTGAAAAAAAAAAAACAGTAAAAGAGATGCGCAAGTGTGGAGTTTTGGGTCAATGATTTGGAGCCCCAGAAGTTGCACACAACCCGACTTCCCATATTGATCGGATGACCCGCGGTTCAACCCGGTTTAATGGGAGATACAATCACAAACATTGGATTGAGGGGTACTGATATGGGCTGTTGGTTTTGAGATTCAGTCTGATATATATATATATATGCTGGGTTGTTGCCTCTTTGAACCCGTTTCAGTTCACTTCTTTATCTTGATTCATCTCTCCCAAATTCCCATCCTCCTGATGGCGACTTCGATCGATCCTCCTTGGTGGTTTCCGGTGATCTGTCCGGAGAATCTGTGGCTTCGACTGTTGGCGACGGTCCTCAGCCTGTTCCGAGGCGGTTCTTTAGTTTAGTCTCTCGATCTTTGTCTTATTTGTATTTTGTGGTGTGTTTGTCTGTCCACGACACTCTCCACTTCTTTCCCACAAGATGAAGGGTCGACAGTGACGCAGTGTGGCGGTGAATCGACGGCAAGAGGCAAGATGGGAGATGACGTTCGATTGTTCGGCGCCGATTCTCTTTACGGGAGATGTTGTTTTGTGAATTGCCGAAGGGAGCCCGGCCGTTGTCATCATCGTCGTCCGGGAGATAACCGGCGGTGTTGGAATCGAGCGTCATATTTTTTGCAATTTTCTCTATTTATCATTTTTAGTATTTTATTTTCGATATTTAATCTTTTTCGTACACTTTATCCGCTTTCTTTACAACTTTTGTTCAATTTCATTTGTACATTTTCTTTCCATTTTAATGAAAAGATATTTTTAAGACATTTTCTTCAATTTCAATCAGCGGATTCATTGCCAACCCTAAATTCCACCTTGACCGGCTTCATCAAGCCGTCAAGAGACTCAAATAAACGAATTTTCGTATACAACAATACTAGCATAATTAAAGGTGATTAATTTTATCTTTGTAGGTGTGATTAGATAATACTAATGTAGTATTAATGCTAACATATTATTTTAATTTTCACTAATACATAATTAATTAATATTAATTTTATCATAAGGATATTTAAGAAAAGTGAATATTCTTATACAATAATTAATTAAAATAAAAATGATTATTTTGGATTTGTTTTGTGGGTAAATTATATAACACCCCTTATGTTTTAGTAAAAATGCACAAAACACCCTATACTTTATTTATTACATGGAACTTCATTGTGTTAATGTAAAGTTTGCATGAAACACCCTCATTGTCAAAAAGTGATATTTGGTTCTAAATAAAGACTAAAATTATGCAAGTTTTATATAAATAAAAAATGCAAATATCTTAAATTTTTTTTAATACAATAAATAAATAAATAATTGATTAATTATTCATTTTATAGTTTTTGAAGACAAATTGTTATCTGCTTTTTTTTTTTAATAAAAACTAGGAAAATAAATGATTGATCAATTATTTATTTATTTATTTTATTCAAAAAATTATTTAAGATATTATTTTTTTTTTGTATAAAACTTGCATAATTTAGGTATTTATTTAGAACCAAATATCAGTTTTAGACAAAGAGGGTGTTTCGTGCAAACTTTACGTTAATACAAGGGAGTTTCACCCAATACATAAAATATAGGGTGTTTTGTGTATTTTTACTAAAACGCAAAGGGGTGTTATATAATTTACTCTTGTTTTGTTATGGTTTGAAATTGATTTGAAATGAGGTATTGATTTGAGTTTTTATTTAAATAATATTTTGATCTTATGTTTGATGAGAAAAAATAGTATATTTTTATTGAAAACTATGCATAATAAATAATATTAAATTTAATGTAAAATGCTAAAAAAACAAATTTTCATATGTATATTATACATTAAAATAATATTTTATATATATTATAATTTCATCACAAAATAAACACGCCAATGATATATAAGACTTTTAATGTTGTACAAAAACAAAAATCGAAACAAATGTAATGTAAGTCTTTTGGATTTTGTTGCCAATGATATATAAGACTTTTAATGTTGTACAAAAACAAAAATCGAAACAAATGTAATGTAAGTCTTTTGGATTTTGTTACAAAATATGTCTTCTAGTTTTGGCATATGTTGTATTGATTGTTCAAGATGTCAAAAGTTGAGGTCTATATAAAAAGGAAAAGGTTGACTGACTGCTGGTGAGCTATGAAAGAGAGTCAAACATTATACAAACTCAACATATTTGTTTTATATGTAGACTGTGTGAGATAGTTTGAGTAAGTAGTAGAAGCTTGATTTTTGTAGTGAGAAAAAGTATGTTTTCCTTCAATTTGATTATTATCATTGTATTCAAGAAGACCCAGAGCTTTCACGGCGATTTGAAATTCTTTTGAAGAAGAAAGTTTGATTTTTCAACCGGAGAAAAAGATTAACACATGAACCTGCTTACTCTCAATCAAATTGGAGGTCTGCTAGTGTTTTAACTACAGTTAGATTGTTAGTTTCTTGTGGATATATATTCAAAGAGAGTTGTAGAAGAGGATAGTTAGTGGTCAATGTTTGTTGAGTGGTAGAGTCTATTGTACATCTGATGATCAGTTTATTAGACGTCTCTTGAATTAAAATCTCTCAGATGCAGGTTGTTGTAGGAATCTGGATTAACAAATTTTGTGTGTTGTTTATTTTCTGTTAGATATTGGCCAGATATAGAAAAGTATCACTTACACATAAACAAAAGTTATAACCATGGAACAACTGCAAGATGTTTTTAGAAGTGCAAACCCCTTGTGGTTTCCTTAGTCTGCTACCATTGGACTCAAATGAGTGTTGGTCTCTTAGATGATGATTGCTTTTTCAATATTTGGTATCAGAGTTATGTACTCTCACCCTGAGTAGATATGTATGTGGTTTGAAAAAATGAGTCGTGAAGTTGCTTCTACCACTCCTCCACCAATTTTTTATGGAACCAACTACAGGTATTGGAAAATCTTAATTTAGGCGTTTCTAATGATGCAAGGAGACAATGTTTGAGACTTACTTGAATGTGGATGGTCTTCACCCATGAAGATTTTACCTGGTAAAACAACAATGGAGTGCTACTATGATTCATAAGCCAAAACCATAATGGAAAGCCAAAGAAACATCAACCACGATTTGAAATGGAATAGTTTTGAACACTATAGTTGCTTATGTATATGAAGTATAATTTCATGTTATTTCGAACTACAAACAAGCAAATGATGTGTGGGATGAATTAAAAAGTGCCTTTGAAGGCACTGAAGATGTAGGATAAACAAAACTTTAACAAGTTGAAAGTATATTGGAATCGTCGAAAATGAATGAAGTTGAATTTGTAGGTCTGATAAATCACATACAATTATATATTTCAGTAGATTAATTGCAATTATAATTCATACTTTGGATAGAAATCTACTCATTTTATTTGCAATCTTGATTGGCTCATTTTCCGGATTGTCGTAAAATGTTAAGGAATTTATGGAGATTTATGGATATTTAAACTTGATAATTTTCAAGGAACAATCAAAGGCATAGCGATCAGGAATTTAATTCTTCAAGGAGAAATTAAGTCGTTGTGGGACAACTTGATCGTCTATAAAAGGATAACAAAGGCATTGAAAGGATCATCATCATATTACAATTCACTCATTTAATTGGAGGATTAAGGGAGACAATAAGACAAAAGGAGCCACTAAAAGATCATCATCACTCCATCAAAGATTTTATCATTTTTGTTTATTTTAATTATGAGTAGCTAATTTTTAGTTCTAGTCCAAGGTTGAAATTTGATTAAAGATTTGAATTTGTGA